TACATAACTTAGAAATCAATCTAACAAGGGATGTAAAAGACATGCACGGTGAAAATTACAATACCTTAAAAAAGGAGCAAAGAGGAGACGACTGGGGCCAGGGGATCCTGAATAGACCCAGAGCGCAGGCCCGGCGAGTCAGTGAGATGACTCGGGGCCCGCAGATCCTGAATAGACCCAGAGCGCAGACCCGGAGAGTGAGTGAGACAACCGGGGCCGCGGGATCCTGAACAGACCCAGAGCGCAGGTCCGGCGAGTGAGTGAGACGACCCTGGTCCTGCCGGATCCTGAATAGACCAGAGCGCAGGCCAGACATGTGAGACCACCCAGGCCCCGCGGATGCGGATCTTCATTCGACCCAGAGTGCAGGCCCAGAAAGGAACCCTTCAGCAGAACTTCCTGCAAAGAGACTAGAGGCAAGACCCACCCAGCTGATTCAGGAGCAGAACATCTTGCCAGAAAGACACAAAGGGTTCTACTCTAATGGCTGCAGCAGAAAAAAGTGGAGCACAGCAGCCAGATGCAAACAACACCCACCTGGAGGAATCTGAACTTCGTAGGTCCCGACCTGGTGCTAAGGTAATAACTCTATCTAAGCTCTACACCAAAGGCCAGAAGACAGTGGTATACAAAATGACAAACAGAAGGAACAAAATGCACTCTCAGGCCCCAAGTCCACCCACTACATATGCAGAAGACACTAGCACTGAGGAAACTGGAAATCACATGCCAGATATCTCTGAAATAATAGCGTTGGCAGTAAAGAATCAACTGCAGAAAGGTATAGAAGAAATCAGATCACAAATAATTTTAGAACTAAAAAATTTAGTGATAACTATAATCAAAGAAGTACTAAGCACTTCTAAGGAATACACTGATAAAAAAAATAGAGCAGAATATAAAAATGATGGAACCCCTGAATAAAGAATTTAGGAAAGAAATAGAATGTATGAAACAGGTTCAAAGTGATATACAGGAAATTAAAACCTCAATCACAAGCTGGCAAAACCATTTGAGGGAAAATGAAAATAGAATTTCTGAC